ATCGTTATAATCTTTATAATCAGGTAAATATTTGTAGCCTTTGATCTTAAAAGAATATCCTATAAGCAGGTATCCATGTTCCCTTCTGATTCTTTCCCCTACCTATCAAAAGGAATTCCTGCACGTAATATGAACATGTAGCCACTCAGCTCAACAGTTGTGTAAAAAGATAAATTAAACACCGTAAAAAAGGAGGAGAAGTAACTTACTGACGTTTCGGACGTTAATCGTTTGTCGGAGTAAAAGTGAAGGATTAACATCCGAAACGTCAGTAAGTTACTTCTCCTACTTTTTTACGGTGTTTAATTTATCTTTTTTACACAACTGTTTCTTTAGAAACACTGACGCAGCTCACAGTAGTTTACCGCTAGTTCCCACCACTCGACTCAACATTCGTAACGAATTGACTGGTAGCAAGTTGACTTCGGAATGAATTGACTAGGTATTCATCACTAGGAAAATACATGCTTGCAAACTCACTTCGAATTACTCAAGGCTAATTTACGAGATGAAACGTATTTGTCACATGTGACATGAAAAATGTTACTGTACTTGGCTCAAGCTTTTTTAAAATAGGCTTAAAATCCTTTTACATCTCATAGCGAGCAATGATAAAAAATTTTGTTACAAACATTTGTTACACCACAAGAAGTTGTGAAATGTGAATCATTGCAAGCAGTGCTGCACAACAAGTGTTTGGCAAATGCTAAAGAAAGTTTGGGACTTTTATTTCTGGAAAGCAAAGTTCATACACCATTAAGTTAGTTGCACACTTGAACTATCCAAGCATGGCTTCACACTGTGTAATACTTTTAAGTATGCGTAATACTTTGAAGTATGTTTTAAAAAACATGTTTTTTATCTTCACTCAGGTGAATTTAGTTGCTGTAAATGTGATAGCAGACCCTCATGACAATATGTATGACGACCCGCTAGACCCTGATCCTGTAAGTACAGTCAAACACATCATGCTTGACGTTTTACATTAAAGCTATGTACATAATGATCTTTGTTTTTGGCACCCTAAAATACCCTTTAATTAATAAAATGTTTATAACTTG